CCGCCAACAGCATCACCATCAAGGCCGTACGTACCAAGGGCCCCAACTCCCAAGGGCGGCCAGCACGCCAGGCCAGCCCGCAGAGCCGTCACTGACACCACAAAAGCTGCATGCAAGGCCCCGCCAGGATCAGACTCGCTGGCAGGGAGATCACAGCCCCCAACACTGAGGCCGGCAAGGCCACGGAAGTCGCGACAGCCAGCGCCACGCTGTGACCACGACCACCACACCCCACCTCCCGGCAGGGCCGCGAAGCTGCCACCACCACCACCACCACCGGCCTCCCTCCCGCCGCACAGGAAGAGGCACGCACCGCTCCGACCGGCAGGTGGACCAGGTGGCCAACGGCGAGGCGGAACAGGTAAGTCAGACTGAGCGTGAAGGCGCAGGCCACCAGCAGCGTGGAGAGGAGGCTGCCGCCAGTCACTTGCTCCACTGCTTGTCCCAGCACTGACCCGCCCGCCTGCAGTAAGCCCAGCAGTGCCATTCCGTCGCCGCCGCTTTCCCCCGCCGGACACACTGGAGGCCGAATCACCGCAGCCCCTCCTTACTGATGGTGCGAGAGGCCGGCGGCAGGCGAGAGACGGCCCGCACTCGCCCGCCTCCTACTAAATCCGCACCACCCCGCCCACCGCTCGCCCGCGCGCCACCTATGCGTCACCGAAGGGGCGGGGCCTTCCTCCGTCACGCCCCTGACGCAGCACGCCTCGCCGCCGAGGTCTCCTTGCGCCAGAGAGAGGCTCTGAACCACGCGGTCTAAACCCGTAGCGCGAGGGGTCCCGGACGCAAGCGAAGGTGGCTTCGGAGATGAACACCCTGGGAAAACAGAAGATTCCCGACCCTGTGGGCCTGGGGTACGGGGTTCCGGGACCTGGCGCGGGAGGGGCCTGGCGGAGGGATCCGGGGCGGGGGGCTGCGTCCACCCTTCCGGCTCGCTCAGTGATTGCACCGCGCGCTCCTGAGGTGATGTCGGCCTATGTAGCGTCACGCGCGCGCTCGGGGAGCACCGCCCTTGTCCGGGCGCTGGCTGGCTGCGCCTCAGCCGTTCAGGTGCTGCGAGCGTGGCCCGGGGAGCCCTTGGGGCTTGTAGTCCGATGATTCGGTCAGCACCGTTCTGCCCCAATAATCTTACAGTTTGCCAGGTATTAATACAGCGCCGTAGAGGTAGCAGGTGTTCGCTGTTAGGTACGTTGGTTTATAGGGAAACAGGCTTTCGAAAATATTTATAGATGTGATTGAAAGTCATGAATTGTTTGAGGCCCCGTATTGTCAGGGCTTAGTGGCTGGAAAGTTTGAAATGGGAGTTCAGTCCTACAAGCAGTTTATTCCCGTGACTACACATAAGCATCTCTGATAAAATGACTGTCGAGTTTAACACTGACCAGATTCACTCATTTGTGAAGGTAACAGGTAGGTTTTGAGGCTGATGCCTCAGCAGTGAATAAGGTGAAACGCAGACTGTCAGGGAATACGTAGGAATATCCTATTGCCTGCCAGATTCCTCTTACTGAAAAGGTCTTCTTAAGAATCGGTAAATTCAAAACTAAACCCATTATCTCCTCCCACTCTTCTGCCAGTTTGCCTTCCTACCATGCCTGTGTTGAATGGATACCTCCAATTAGTCACATCTAATCATCACCACAACTTTCTTTTCTTTTCTTTTTTGGTACGGGGGATTGAACTCAGGACTATGCACTTGTGAGGCAGGTGCGACACCACTTAGCTAAATCCCCAGCCAGTCACCAAATCCTATAATTCTACTGCCTTAAATTTTTTCTTCCATTCCTCTTGCCACTGTCTTAGTAAGGCATTCCTCATATCTTGTCTGCATTACTACGACAATATCCTGTTTGGTCTTGCTGCTCTGCACTTTTTATTCTGTAGACCACTGCCACCACTTAAATCACTGAAGTGGGCTTGTGCCATAACCCCAAAAGACAGTCTTGACCACCATAATCCCAAATGTTGAATTCTGAAAGATCAAAAATCTTTAAAGTCTAAAATCCTGAAAATATAATTCTATAAAAAATAGTTTTAAAAATTCTTTAAAAGACATTTATTTGCATTGTTAAAGGAGAAAAACAAAAACAGTTGTAAGCCTTTTTCGATAAAATAGGCAGTAACATACTCGTACCTATCTCTGCAAGCATAAACAGTTATACTAACAACTGCTCTAGTGTAACAGAAATAAGCAAGGGGAATAGTCATAAATAGATCAAAGATGAATTGCATAAATTACATCTGGTAACTCTGTGCACTAGGTTTCATAACTACAGTTATTCTGAAATACAACACCCAAGTCTTGATGAGATTGATCAAAAGCATGCTATAGGTTATCAGTTACCGTTGCATATGCCAAGATCTCAAAGCATATCCCTTCATTTATTGAAGAGATTTCATGTACATGATGTTTACACACAGAGTCAATGCACTTTTGCATAGGCAAATTTGCAAAACAGCATGAACCAAATCACATTGCTCTAACTGGGGATTTAGCTCAGTGGCACTGTGCCTGCCTGAAAAGGTCCTGAGTTTGATCCCCAGTACCCAAGGAAAAAATACTCAAAGTCTTCACATACCGCGATATCTCCAGTATTGGAAATCATGTAAAAGTAAACTACATAGTATGGTGAGTTCGTTAAAGAAAGAAAAGAAAAGAAAGAAAGAAAGAAAACTTCACAGTTTAAAATAGAAAAAGAAAACAAAGAACTTGAAAAATGAAAAAGTATATTACAGTGATAGATTATCAGCAATTATAGGAAGGTAGTGCATAAGAGTTGACCAGCTTACATAATTATCTGTATTAGAACATGCTGAAATGGGAAAGGAGGGCCAGGGATTTAGCTCAGTGGTGCTGCCGCCTGCTTCACAAGTGCAAAATCCTGAGTTCGATCCCCAGTACGGGCGGGGGGGACAAGGGAGGAGGAGAGGGTAGGGAAGGAAGGGAAAAAGAATGAAAAAAAATGGGAAATGAATGGTAAATAGGTGAACAAGGGCTAAAGGTAGGGGAAGGGAATGGGGAAAAGAAAAGAATACAGATATACTCCCTATGATAGATGTGATCAACATGAATAGCAAATATGTACAAAAATTTAAGGGCTGGGGGTTTAGCTCAGTGGTTCTACTGCCTGTCTCACAAGTGCAAGGACCCAAGTTTGATCCCCCCAAAAAAGTTTAAAATTTTTAAAAATTATCTGTATTTGGAAGACTTAAATCTTGATTAAGTACTGCTTTGTCCCCCCTTCTTTTATGGCATGGCTCTCTGATAATACATGCACATTAGTTCTCTGTATAGCAGTACTTTTTTTAATTCTTCTGCTTCACTATACACCAATATGAGCATTCTCCGTTACAGTTTTCAAACTTCTGTACCATGCTTCTATATTGCTTTGGGTATGCAGAAATCCATCTGCACTCATATAGAAAATCACGATTTGTTGATTGTTTTGTTGTCTGAATATTCCTTCCCATGTCTCTTGATTGAAGATGCTGTCCATCTTGTAAACATCAATCTATACAGTCTCACTGCTATGCAGTTTCACATCCTCGGACAGGAGGCTGGTTCATAACTGGTGAAAAGCTAGAGGAGTCTGAGTCTTAATGGCTAATAAACCTTACATCCTGTGGAGGAGGAAAGCGTTTTTCCTTTTTTACTACTTAAGAATGTGGCAGAAATGTATGCTGAGGTAGCCCAGTCAATCCAATCTTTTTTTCTTTTGTAAATTTGAATATTTCTCAAGTATTTATCAGAATATTTCTGGAAGGGTGCCATGTACTCAAAAGTATGAGCGCATCAATGATAGGATATACCACTGTTCTCCTGTCCTGTTTGATCCTGGCTGAGAGACTCCAGCCATCCCACTGTGCACTCACAGGGAGCATCTAAGAAGGTGATCACTTGTGTTGTGGAGACAGCAGCTCCTTTTAATTTATCTCCTATCAATCCAGAATGCTGTTCCATTCAAATTACGTGAAGTGGCACTTAGTTTTTTCACATAACTCTCTAGAGGGCTTTTCAAAAAGTCTCTCACTGGCATCATCACTAGAACAATTTCTTCTACCATGTGTCTTGGTGAGTGATCAATGACACTATGAACAGTCTGAAGAAGTGTGCTCCAAGCCACACTGTGGAAAACAATCACCACACTGGTTAAAAGATTATCTGGATCCACCTTTGTTTTACACCATCCCTCTCAGGAAGTCCTCTCTCCTTTCTCTCATCACATTTGTTGCATTTACTGAAGTAAAGCAGCAGGAACATATCCAAGAGTACCCACATCAAGGAGGTAGCTAGGACCACCTTGCAATATGCAAATTTTCTCATGGCACTTTACATCAAATACAAAATTTTATAATATATATATTTTATAATATATACACACACACAAAGATCATAAAAATTATCCCAATCCAATTTCATCAGATATCACATTCATACCCCCAAACTGGTTTTTACCATTCAATTCAATTCCCATTCGCAGTCCACATATCCCATATCTCCTCGCTGTGCACTCAGCAGCAGGAGCAGTAATGGGCGCTTCTTGGGACCAGCCCATATGCTTGCTGTGCAGGAAACATTTTTTAAATGGGAAGCTTTCATTATTGCTATATCATGTGACCAGCCCCTTCCCCAAAATTTGGCTTTCTAACTCTCTTTCTTATATAGGCTTTTTTATTCCCCGTGGATATTGCTTTTTTTTTTTCTTTTTTTAGATCTCACCTTTCATGATTTCAACATTTAAGATTGTTAATCTTTCCGAATAATGATTTTTGAGAATTTTAGATGTTTAGAATTTTGACTTTTAAGCTTTGGACCTTTCAAATTCTGGTTTTCAATTTTATGATTGGCTCCACACTGTATGAAATCTAAGAAAGCAAACCGTAACCCAATATGTATTTTTCTAAGAGTTTTATCAGTTTAGCTCTTCTGCTTAGGACGTTCATACTTAAGAAGTTTGGGTTGTTTGGGTTTTGTTTTGGTTTTTTTAATACCGGAAATCAAACTCAGGGCCTCATACTTGCCAGGCAGATTCTGCACCGCTGAGCTATATCCCTGGCCCCCATACTTCAGAAGTTGAGTTTTGTTTATGGTATGAGGTGGAGATCCAGTTCATTCTTTTCCATATTAATAACCAGTTATACCAGCACCATTAGTTGAAAAGATTCTTTTCGTCTGTTTTATCATCTAACAATCTTATTTTGAGCTGAAAAACTATTTCTGAGCAAAAAAGATTTTTCCTGAGACTAGCTAACCTGACAAAGAGTCCCAAACTCATACCTACTCCCACACCTAACATGCATCCTCCTTCATTCTCCTGTGTTCTCAGGAAGTGTCTGTATCCAGTGTACTCTTCTATCATATCATGTAAACTAAATGTAACTTCCTCAACCCATGAACTGATGATAGGTGCCTTAAACTGATGATAAATGCCTTGCTTCTGTACCCCACCCACCTTCTCTTAACCCATATAAACCCTGTTCACTGCCAGCTCTAAGCTGATCTCTTTGTGAAAAATCCTCCATCAGTCTGCCAGCATAGTAAACTTGCCTCCAACCTTCAGGTGCATTCTCAATTCTTCTAAACCTGATCTTTCTATACCCCTAAGAGCTGCTACACTGTGCACTGTAAGTCTGTGTTGTATTTGGTGTGTTGGCCAGGAAACTCAAC